ATAGTTTCTGGTCTTACATTTAGATCTTTAATCCATTTTGAGTTTATTTTTGTGTATGGTGTTAGAAAGTGTTCTAGTTTCATTCTTTTACAGGTGGTTGACCAGTTTTCCCAGCACCACTTGTTAAAGAGGTTATCTTTTTTCCATTGTATATCCTTGCCTCCTTTGTCGAAGATAAGGTGACCATAGGTTCGTGGATTTATCTCTGGGCTTTCTATTCTGTTCCATTGATCTATATTTCTGTCTTTGTGCCAGTATGAGCTGTGGTTTGAATGATGGATGAATAAGTGGGCGAGTGAGCGGCAAGAGGTTCCTGGGTTCTGGCTCACAGGCCCTTTTGAGGGCAGGCGTCCTGTGCCTCCCGTAGTATGCAGGGGATTCTCTGTGCTTGTTAAATAGTAATTGACAGAAATATTTATTTTTCTATGTATATAAATTTTTTAAAAATTTAATCAATTTTTAAATTACTGGTTTATTTGGCTGCACTAGGTCTGAGCTGCGGCGGCAGGATCTCTGATCTTACTGGCAGCGTGCAGGAACTTTAGTTGCAGCATGTGGGATCTAGTTCCCTGACCAGGGATTGAACGTGGGCCCCCTGCATTGGGAGCGTGGAATCTTAGTCACTGGACCACCAGGGAAGTTGGAATTTTTTTTTTAAAGCATTATATGACATACACTATTTTGAAACCTGCTTTTTTCATTTAACTGTATGTTATGGAAAATTTTCCCACATCAATAAATACGACTCTACACTAAGTGTTGGCAAACGTATCCTGTAAGGGGCCAGATGATATTGGCTATTTCTGGCTTTCTTGTCTCCATGGGAACTGCTCAACTCTGCCGGCGTGGTGCAAAAGCCGCGGCAGAGGATGTGTAAACGAGTGGGCCTGGCTGTGCTCCAGGCTCACCCTGTGGACTTCCTGTCATTTTCATGAGCCGTAAGATATTGATCTCTTGTGTTTTCTCAGCCCTTTAAGAGTGTAAATCCATTCTGAGCTCATGGGTCATACCTGGCCCCTGGCAGTGGCAGTTTACCAGTGCAGTGTGGCTATTCTGTGATTTATCAGTGGCCCTTTATGTTCTTTCCACTTTTTTTGCTCTGTGCTTCTGTGAACAGCTTTCCCTATGCGTCTCTACATATTTGTCCAATTTATTCATTTAACACATGTGAATTTAGAACCTGCCATGTGTCGAAAACTTTTCTGGGCCCTGAGTGGTCAGGGCAGGCAAAGTCAGTTCTGCCCTTGTGGAGCTTACTCTTTTTGGAAGTGCATGTTTCCAGGCTGGTGGGAGGGATCCAGGAGAGGTGAGGAGGCTAACTTGCAAGAGCAAAGCCCTCAAGCAGGGAAGAGGGGGTGGCATCGGGGCACCAGGGGAAGGGGTGGCGTTCCATAGGATCAGGCTCAGCGTTCTCATTTTAACAGGCTGGAAGCCTGACTCTGAAATGCTACAGATTTAGGTAGGCTAGACTCTGCAGAGAGGTTGGGTAGTAATCTTCTAACCGTGCCTGTCTTCTCAGTGAAAAATAGGCAAGGAAATATCATCTAGGAATAAGGGGGAGAGAGGTTGTCAGAGATTTAAGGAGCGAGGAGTTGATGTAAACGGTGTTCTTGGACAGTGGAAGATGGACTCACTGGGAGAAACCTAGGGGATTTGTAAGAAATGTAAGAGCCCACTTGAGTTTTGTGTTGATAGTGAGACCCTTCAGGACTGTTGCATGCTCTTCCCCAGCCATGTTCTGCCAGTCTGGTGCTGGAGTGGGGAAGAAGGAGGGTTGCATGTAACCAGGATGGGCTTTGCCGGGGGAAGGAGTTGAGGGTCTGTGTAAAGGGAGCCTGTGTGAGCTATGGAGAAGGGCACGGCAACCCACTCCAGTGTGCTTGCCTGGAGAACCCCCTGGACAGAGGAGCCTGGTGGGATTGCAAAGAGTCGGACACGACTGAAGCAACTTAGCAGGCAGGCTCTGAACTGTGGAATCTAGGCTTATAAGGAGAGAGATGTGAGGATGGTGGGGGGCAGTGATGAAGTGGGAGAGTAAACATGCGGCAAGTCCCCTACGTGTGAACCTCCAAGTTGGGAACTTTCAAAGATGTGAACGTGTGTTCCATCAGCATCAGGTATGAGTGAAATTGCAGCTTGCCCTCTGTCTCCTGTTGTGTTTTCACCATTTGTTATCTCTTTTTTGTAAATTGTCCATCTCTCTTTTTAAAGGTGTTTGGGTGAGGCCAGTACCCTGGGAGAGTTTTTCTCCAGGTGCCCCTCTCAGAGGCCAGAGCACGTGTGGTTCCATCTCCAGGATATAGGCTCACACTGAACCCCTGGTCATTTGCATTTGGGGTCTTAGGGTGCAGCACATAGTAAGAAGCAAAGGCAGGAAGGACAGTCTGGGCCTGTCCCCGAGGAGACGGTCAGTCTGAAGACGCAGGCTCTCACAGAGTGCCCCCGCCCAGAAGGGCCCATAGCCAGGCCGCTCTGTACCTCTTGGGGTCATTAGGTACCAGAGCAGACCCTGGTTCCCACTCATCTGTGGTTTTCTGAAGGTTCTCCCTCACTTACCTGTTGCTGGAAAGGTCAACTGGTGTCATTCATATGGAGGGCAGTTTGGAAATAATCATCAAAATTGCAAGTGCTCCTAATACTCGCTGCCTCAGCACTTCCACTCCCGGGACTTGATCCTGTGAACATACTTGTCCTTGTGCAGCATGTTCAAGGTTGTTCATGGCAGCAGCGTTTGTAGAAGCAAAAGCTTGAAAATAACCAAAAAGCCCTGCAGGAGATAATGCCCTGTCTGTCTAGATAACCGAGGCCATAATCACCCAGTGGGATGAGCCTCGTGCAGAAGAGTGAGGGTGTCTAGATGTGTTCATATAAGGTGATCTCCTAGATATTTTGTTAAATGAATAAGGGTAAGCAAAGAGTGCAGGATCTGTTTGCCACTGTTTATGCAAGATGGGTAAAAACAGAAAGAAATATGCACATTATTTGCTTGTATGTTCATAAAATGTCTGGAGAAGGATATATAAGGAACTGATGATGATAGTGACTCTGTGGAGGATAGTGGGGTTACCAGAGGTCAAGGGTGAGAGAAACTTCACCATCCCCCATCTTGCACCTTGGAAACTTCAAAGCCTGTTGAGTGTGCAGGGGGCGTCACTGCACGGCTCCAGGAGCACACCTTACCTGCAGTCATTCAGGCGGGGTGCTCTGTGGAGGGGTGCCCACGGGGCAACTTTGAGGGTGCGTTTCCTATTAGAGTAAAAACCAAACAATAAAAAAAATGTTCAGCCAGGAGAATTGGTTATTATCATTTTTAAAAAACCATATTTCTTTGAAAACTTTTTTCTATGCTTGTTATTTATTTATTTTGTTTATTTTGGGGTTTATTGATTAGTTTATTTTTGGGTGCGCCGGGCTTTCTCCAGTTGTGGCGAGTGGGGGCTGCTGCTCGCTGTGGTGTGCGGGCTTCTCACTGAGGTGGCTTTTCTGGTTTCGCAGCACGGGCTCTCGTTATACCCTTCAGTAATCTTCTGGGACCAGGGACTGAACCCATGTCCCCCGCACTGGCAGGTGGCTTCTTAACCACTGGACCAGCAGGGAAGTCCCTGCAGGTTTGTTTTTCAAATAGAGATGGAGTTCAGTGGCCATGGTTCTTTTGATTGTCCATCCTAAACCGTTCAAAATTGGTTTTCCTCTTTGATTCCCATTAGACGTCCTCCTGCAAAACGGCCCAACTACGTTAAGCTTGGCACCCTGGCACCTTTTTACTGTCCCTGGGAGCAGTTAACTCGAGACTGGGAGTCAAGAGTCCAGGCTCAAGAGGAACCGCCTGCAGCTTCCTCTCCAAGTGGTGGGGAGAGTGGCCCGAGCAGAGATGGGGTGCCTTGTGTTCCCGGGCCTGGAAGGACTGCTCAGCTGTCTGAGAACCAGGGCACACCCCTGCGTGCCTCCAGTGAGCCTGAGGGAGTCATGGAAACGGATTGTCCAGCCGGGGTGGAACCCGAGGGGGCTGGCCGCCAGAGGGCCACCAGCAGCCGCCTTTGCGTTCTTAGGTAAGTGCCCAAGACTTCCAGATGCCTTTTTTGGATTGTCTGTTTTTTGATACTGACCCAGGCTCCAGGGTGTAGAAGTTATCATGGTGCCTTTACACAAAGGCCAAGTGAATTTACAGACCTTCTATCAGGGAAAGTCAGTAGATCCTCGAGGGCCCAGGGGAAAGCCTAAAGTCACACACACATGATTTGGGGCATGATGCAGCTGAAGTGATTTAAAATATCACCTCAGTAGACCTAAACCAAGGCCGTTTATGACCTATTTTATTTAGTCTTTGCTCACAAAGCAGTACCCTCACGGTTATGATCTTAAGTAATGAAGAACCCCTGCAAGCATCCTTTAAATTGCTGAATTAGATTCTTTCTCACTGGTTTTGAATGACTTGCGTTTGTGGCTGATGAGGTGATTCATTGATTCATTGTGATACTGTTGTAGCACAGAGGGGACTGTGTGGAAGGTGTGCTTGCGGTATTGCTGCAAGCTCTTTGATCTGCTTATCATTTACCCTGTGTTCTGTTAGCTCTGATTTTAAAAGCGTGCCACCCCTTTGCTTTATACTTATTTTTCTGTATAATACCTTATAGTTTCATATCGTTCCTTCTGACTTTTCATACAAGTGTCCCTTAGGCTTTCTTTTTCCATCAAAATTATCAGTTACTTTTTAACCCTCCCACTGTGAATACAGCCATAGATTCCACCCCACTGTCTTATTTTTCTCTGCCTTCAGCTTTAAACCTTTAGTCCTTCAGTCTCAAAATAGTAGACACCTGAAACAGATTGTTACAAAAATGTAAAAATGTGTGGTTTTAGTTTTTTAAAAATTGAAGCTTTGATCCTTTTCCCACATTGAGTATTAAACAAAAAAGAAAAGCAAATGAACTCTAGCAGTGCCCAGTCTCCTGATTGCCTATGTTCTCCATGAACAAAATATCTTCACAAGGCTTGTCTCCCCCTTCACGTAGGAGTAGAAGATTACTGAGGCAGCTGTCAGCCTGGTGTGGGCCCAGGTCTGGGGGCGGTCGGGCAACCCAGCAAGCTGGCAGAGGGCAGCAAGGACTGACCGGAGAGGCCTGCCTGGCCGTGCTGGACGGCTTCCCCAGGGCCCTGGTATGGGTCAGGCTGGCCCTGCTGGGGAAGGGCAGCCCCGGCCCGCACACCCTGATCTGCGTCCCGGACAAGGAGGATCTCCTGCAGCTCGGCCGCGATCGGCTGTACCGTGGGCCCCAGGAGCCCAAGCACAGTGACCCATTCAAGAGCCAGATCCGGGAACAGAAGGAGAAGAAGAAGCGGGAGAAGAGGCCGAACCGACGGCGTGCCGCGTCTGAGGGCCTGGCAGAGGGGGACCCTGCAGCCGGGCCCCAGCCCCTGACCCTGGGCTTGTGGTCAGGCCCCCTCCCGGTTGTGACTTCCCACTGCTCCAGAGCTCTCCTTGGCTTTGTCACCCAGGGAGACTTTTCCATGGCCGTCGGCTCTGGGGAGGCCCTGGGGTTTGTTAGCCTGACGGGCTTGCTGGACCTGCTGTCCAGACAGCCAGGGCCAGAGAGGGGCCTCGTGTTGCTGAGGCCGCCTGCCTCCCTGCAGTATCGGTTTGCGAGAATCACAATTGAGGTGTGAACGTAGGTTCACATCACGGCACAGAGAAGACCTGTGCTTGCCAAGTCTCACAGCCAACCAGAGAGTTGTTCCCCTCCCCCTGCCTGCCTTCTGTTTCAAGACATCACGCGAAATTCCTTGGAAACGAGAATAAAGAAACTTACGTATTTATGCAAATGGATAAAATGTTTACATCATTCCAGTAATCTCATTGATTTCCATCTTTCCCCATCCTCACTGTGATACTTTAAAATTATTTGGCATATAGAGCTAAAAGCTTTTGTATTTTGCTTTCTTGGCTGTGTAATTCTTGCTGGAAATAATTAGAAACTCTGGTTGTCTTCTTGCATCCTTTTTTCTTTTTTTGATCAGAAACCAAGGACTGTCAAGTCTATTTGAAAATTCTTGTAGTCATATGATAAGTGATGATGACAGTTGTTTAATGATTTGATTGTTACCAAAGAGGAAAAGAGGGCTTCCTGGGTAGCTCACATGGTAAAGAATCTGCCTGCAATGCAGGGGACCTGAGTTCCATCCCTGGGTGGGGAAGATGCCCTGGAGGAGGGCATGGCAGCCCACTCCAGTATTCTTGCCTGGAGAATCCAATGGACAGAGGAGCCAGGTGGGCTACAGTCTGTGGGGTTGTAAGAGTTGGACACGACTGAGCGACTTTCATTTTCAAAGAGGAGACTAGAAATGTCTGGTCTCTGTACTTGACCAGTGGGTCCCCCGTGGGCCACATTAAGTTCTGTGCTGTAATCAGCATTCCCGCCACTTCACACCATAAAGAAGGACATCGTGGAAAATGTATTGTTGCTTCAGCAGTTTGGTTTATGGCAAAAGTGTTGAGATGGAATTAGAGTGGGATCTGTGGTTTCATGACCCTTCATCTTCTGTGTTGTTGACCAGCACATGTTCCAGGAGTTACTTAATTTTCCTGTGCTTTTTGTTTTTGCAAAGACTGTTTCAAAGCCATAGAGGAGCATTTCTCAAAACATGTTCTATGAAATATATGACCTAAGAAAAAGAGTCCAAGGACTGAGTGATTTTGGAAACTCTGGGTTAAATACAGTTAAGCACTTCTTTTAAAGGAATTCTAGAACCTTCCATATGATAGGTACATTGTGATTCTCTAAGGAGTGGATAATAGTCCATAGTATCTTCTAATTCCAGAGCTTAAGTGAAATTATTATTAATTTTTATTCAAATATACAGTTACTTTTTTTTTTTTTTAACTTGTAAAAGTTTTTGACTTGTGCCACCATCATACAGGATCTTAGTTCCCCTACCAGGGATTGAACCTATGTCCTGGGAAGCCCAGAGAATTAACCACTGGACTTGCAGGGAATTTCCTACAGTTAGGTGTTATTAACAGAAATGCCTTGTGTTTTTGCAGTAGTGTTTGGCAGTGACTGTCTTTGGGAGTGATGCGTTGGGGAGAGAGACAGCATTACTGTAGCCGATGATGAAACATCTGTCGTTTCCCCTCTCACCCTGCCTCCGAATGTATTTGTGCCCCATCCAAATGAGACTGGAAAAAACAGTATAGCTTAGTGGTGGCTGCAAGCAGAATACGTTAAAATGTCGCCCGATGCTCGGTTATTAGTATTTCTTGAGATGTTCCTCATTTGTCTTCTAGGCTGTAAGCCACTTCATCTGAGGCTTCGCTCGCTTGATGTCTGAGTGAGCTGTGTCACTGAGTCTCACTCTACAGCACCTCTCGTGGGCCCTGCTGCCCTGCCCTCATCATAAGGGACAATTAATTGCTCTGCTTGGTGGTGGCAAAGAACTACGTGCTGAAAGGATAGACTAGCATTTCCCAAAATATATTCCTGGGAGCACTGGTCCCTGGAGATGTTTCCTGGGGAAAAAGTGTTTCATGGCTACGTAAATTTAGGGAAAGACATTCTGTAGGGGCTTTCCAGGTGACACCACTGATAAAGAGTCTGCCTCCCAATACAGGAGGCTTAAGAGACTCTGTTCGATCCTGGGTTGGAAAGATCCCTTGGAGGAGGGCATGGCAACCCACTCCAGTATTCTTGCCTGAAAAGTCCTATGGGCCAAAGAGCCTGGAATGCTGCAGTCCATGGGGTCACAAAGAGTTAGACACGACTGAGTGACTAAGCATGCATGTTCACTTCTAAGCTTTGAGATGTGTGTCCGTAGTTTTCCTTTAAGGAAAGCATCATCAGCAACATATAATACATAAAAACCCATGCAGTGTGTATGCCCCTTAAGTGTATGTTGCCATTTCCTTACCTTGTTGTGTTCAACTCTTTGCGACCCCACGGACTGCAGCACTCCAGGCTTCCCTGTCCTTCACCATCTCCCGGAGTTTGCTCAAATCATGTCCATTGAGCTGGTGATGCCATCCAAACATTGCCTGGAACGCAATCGTGGGTTGGGCCCAAGCCTCAGCATTTCTTACGAGCTCCCAGGCCATTCTGATATGTGACTTGGGTTGAGCCTTCGGCTTCAGGGAGTCTGGAACCCCTGCTCTTTGAGAAAGCAACGGGTCTGTGGGCTGGGTAACCGGGCTGTGGAAACGGGGCACACCTCAAACCCAGTTCCCTTACCAAGCGTGTGGTTAATCTCTCCCTGACTTTGTTCTCTTGCTCGTGTCTTCTGACTTCAGTCCCTTTTCTTTTTTCGGCTACACTGGGTCTTTCATTCAGTATATAGGAATGTGGGATCTTCTCAGCCCAGGGACCGAACCCTTGTCCCCTGCATTGGAAGGCGGATTCTTAAACACTGGACCACAAGAGAAGTCCCCTCAATCCCTTTCTTGACCCTTCTGACCTCAGTCCTGAACACTAAGCAACCGGTCAGATGACTGAGGTTGTTATGACTATAACTGCTATGTTGATAACATAATGGATAACATCATTAACATACAAACTCTCAGGCTGTGTCTCCCGGGTCGAGATGAGCTCACAGGCCCCCTAGCCATGGGCCACCTGGTTAGAGAATGTAAACCAGAAACATCCTGAGCCCTGAGACTGCAGTTGAGAAATGTCACAGGACATGACTAATCCCAGCCGCTTTGTTCTTCCCCTTTGAAAACAGCCCTAAGGCAGAGCCCGCGTGGGAGTGGGTCTAAGGCTTGACTTCCACCCCCTTGCCTGGCTGCCCTGCAAATAAAACTCCTACTTTACAGCAAACTCCCACTGCCCCAGAGTTCAGCTTTCTGGGCCTCCCACACACCAGCCTTTGCCCAGTTAACCAGACCTTACAACTCTGAAGGCTGTAGCTGGCCCAGCTCACAGGTCCCTCTGCCTGTGAAACAGTCAGGTGGGAGCTGAAACCGAGCAGAGTGGGGAGGCCTGGGGGCCCAGAGAGGGGCCTTCTGCCTGGGGAGGAGGCTTCCTCTCAGGGAAGAAAACAGCCTGCTTGCTTGTATCAATATAACCTTCACTACTTGGGGGACTTCCCTGGGAGCTGGTAAAAAAATCTGCCTGCAGTGCAGGAAACCCCAGTTCAAATCCTGGGTTGGGAAGATCTCCTGGAGAAAGGATAGGCTACCCACTCCAGTATTCTTGGGCTTCCCTGGGGGCTCAGCTGGTAAGGAATCCGCCTGTAATGCGGAAGACCTGGGTTTGATCCCTGGGTCGGGAAGATCCCCTGGAGAAGGGAATAGCTACCCACCCCAGTATTCTGGCCTGGAGAACTCCATGGACAGGGGAGCCTGGCAGGCTAAGAGTTGCAAAGAGAGTCATTTTCCTTTGTTTTTTCTTGGGGAGATCAGGTCAGCTGTCCTCAGCCTTGGCTGAGCATTGAAATCACCCAGGGACTTTCGAAACCCTGGTGCCCAGACCCACCAGCAGGCCTGCCAACTTCCCGAGTCGGGGGTGCGTTCTGACTTTGGGATTCTCAGAAGCTCCAGGTGACTTGCAGCCAGGGTTGAGACCCAGGCTCTAGACTTTAATGTGAGGTTCAGTGCAATTATCCCAGGACACAGAAGCTTATCAGCTTGCCACGCAGGGTCGGAGCGGATAGAGGTAGGCTGTCTTGAGCGGGGTATGCACTTGTCCCTGATGTCCCTGGAAGGTGTCCTGCTGCACTGGAGCGAATGGCCAAGTTCACATGGTGGCGTTTCCTTTCTTCTTTTATTTTTTGGGGCTGTACTGGGTCTCCGATGAGGTGCACAGACTTCTCTTGTTGAGGCAAGGGGGCTAAGCTGACTCGGAGCATGAATCTTAAGTCCCCGACCAGGGATCGAACCGCGATCAACCTGGACCACCAGGGAAGTCCTTTTTTAAGAATTAAGATTCAACCAGGCACTGTTCTGGAAGAACCCACCCTCACCACCTGTGTGCCTCCGCGGAGGGAAGCGTTTATACACGGGGACCACGCCTGGGTCCTCTCCCCAGCCTCGTCGCACCCCGCTTCGCCCTCCTCACTCCGCCCTGAATACACTGACCTTGGGATCCTTGAGGAACCGGACTTGCGCTTTGTCTGCTTGGGATGTTCTCACCTCTCCCCCACGCTCCCTGAACCCCGACCCCGCTCACCCCATCCCGCCAAGCTCGACCGAATGTTCCTCAGGGAAGCCTCCTCCTGCCTGGGTGATTTTCTATCACGCAATGGATTTATTTTCTGATGACATTGCAATGTACAACGATGCATTTTGCTGTTTACTCGTTTGCGGTCTGTGCCATTAGGCTGTGAGCCTCATGAAGGGGAGCCCACGTCTTCTTCGCTAACTGTTGCACCTCAGATTCTAGCACAGTCCCTCATCCACATCTTGTATTTAATGTATTTTTATTGCATTGATGCCTGCATTAAAGAGGGTTCAGCTACAATAAATGTCGTCTCCGGTGTATGTTGTAGTGAACGAATGAGCCACTAGGTGGTGCCAAGACCTCAGGAGAAAAAAGTTTGCTCTGGGAAAACACAACTAAAACACAGTTCATTAGTGTGTGTGTGTGTGTGTGTGTGTGTGTGTGTGGTGTGTTGTCGGACTGGGGGAGTTTATGAAGTGAAAGATCAATTCGTGTTCCCTCATTTGGGGCAGACCCCCTATTCCCAAGATCCTAGTTTGGAAAGCTTCCGTGCTTTTGAAAGAGGGTGGCTCAGCTGGCAAAGAATCCGCCTGCAATGCAGGAGACCCCTGTTCAATTCCTGGGTCGGGAAGATCCCTTGGAGAAGGGAGAGGCTGCCCATTCCAGTATTCTTGG